GTGGGAAGGAATTAAAGATTTCTTAGGTTGTTGCAATCTGAAGAACTGTAGGTTGCTTTCACTGCACACTTTACAGGAACTATCCATGTATAGAACTTGTATATTTTATTGCTTCAAAACTAAACACAGAAAAATGGCTGACTGATGCCTTAAGTCTGAAAATGGTTAGTTACAGCTTGCTTTCTGTAAAAGCAGGTCTTGCTGCTTAGTGTTCCACCTGTTTGATTGCATAGGTTGTGCTTTGCATTTACCAGTAATTGCTCTTACTGTGCTGCAAGTATGTACAGAATGTAGGTAACTTGGTTATGCTGTGGACTAGAGATGTTAATTCCCATCTGTAATATTTCATGACTTGAAATGTTACAGTGACAGTTTATCTTAGTTCAGCTCATATGTTGAGTCTGTATAATACATTTGTATGATTTTGCTTTGCTGTTTTAAGTGTTATTATGTAAAGCCATGGCCAGCCAGCCAGAAGTCTGAGATTGTTATGAACAATGGAGGTGTTCACCTGTTGATCACCACTTTAAGCCATGAATAGCTCAACAGGCATTTAATAGTTGTTTCTACAGAGTGGATATTTAGGAGCTCCTACTTAAAATCAGTGACTCCTGTATTTGCTTTCTTGTAACAAATTCACTACCATACTTTCTGTTAGATTGTGAACTCCTGTGATTCAGGCTGTCTATATAATGTTTACGTGTGCATAAATACCTCTTCAATGCGGACATTTATTTGGCCTGTAAAGCAAGGATCACAATTCCTTTTCTCACTATAAATGTGTTTAATTGCAACTGTAGTAGGCAAGGAGATTAAATACAAATATTAAGGATGATCCTTTATTATTTTGCATTCTGCTTAATGATTTTTTTCAAGAAGACTTTGGGGGGGTTGCTAAGACTGTAGTATGACAATTTAGGGGAAAAAATTAGAGATAATTGCTTATTCTGAGTTGCCTCCTTTTTGGATACTCTTTGTATTTCTGAATGTAAAAATAATTTAAAAGTCAGAATAAAGCCCATCTGTCTTTGGGGTTCTTGTCCAAAATAATATTTAACTTCATTTCTCATTCTTCTTAGCAGCCTCTTAACTAAAAAGGCACCTAAAATCAATACACCTTGTCTTTCAGGTTTTTTTTAGGAAGCTGTAGTTTTTTGTTTCACTCTGCCTTGAGAAGTTGGACACCAAATTATATCTCACTGGCTGAGAATTTTGAGATAAAGCATAATTTACAAGTGCTTCCTGCAGCATGGACTTCAGTACAATGCAATATAGACAGAACTGTTTTCATTCAGAAATGTGGCTCCTCTGTAGATTATTTGTGGCAAGGGGTAACAATTGTGTGTTCCAGGTTGTCCTCAGTCTAATCGCCTTCCTCTTAAAATACATGTTCTAATCATATGATTAGCAGACTCGCCTTTGCATTTGAATCATTGTGCTGCAAAGAAGGCAGAATATTTGAGTCTATAACAGATGAATTTTTGTGATGGGCTGCATTGAGGCCGCAGGATGTTCTGCTGGGTTACCAACCGTTTGGGTGTATTCTCCATTTTGCAGTGCATGAGGGTTTTCAGTCTAGCAGAATTTTTGCACTTCTAGAAATAAATGGTTGTCACTGCTGTAATTATGGTTAAGCAGTAGTTAATGTTTGCTTTGTCCAACACATTCTGGCTGACTGCAGTTCACATCTATGAAAGTGTTTGCATGTTGCTTTATTCTTCTTTAGTCTATAATAGAGAACTTTGAATTGTTCATTTCTAAAAGCTCAGTACATTAATAAATGACGGTGTTAACTATCTTTTCACATAAAACACAGATAATAGAGTCCTTTCATGTGCGCATTTGAGTGAATATTTTAAATTCCCTTTTTTCTTTATTAAGAAAACGTTCTTTGTAGGATTTAATTTTTTTACCAAGAACTACTAGCTAGAAGCTAATTTGAAGTATCAGGAGTCAGATGATAACAAATAGGGTAAAAGGCAACAAATATAATTGCTTGTCTGCTGTTTGTAGATTATCTGAAGAGCAGCCATGAAGTTGACACTCAGTTTCTGAGTGGCAGCTGTGAATTTGACAATTATCTTGTCCATTTCTACAAACTGTAAGCATCAGCAACTGTTGGCACGCTCAGGAAAATGGTATTGCCTGGTTTATCTGTTTTCCTTTTTTAAACATTATCACCACCTGTGCTGTGTTGAAAGTTGTTCTAAATGAAAACTTCAGCTTTTCTAAAATTCGTATCTTGCTTTGAAAGCCAGGGTTTTTTTCCCTCGCCGGTGTTCCATGGGCTTCTTTTCCTGTTCTCCAGAATATTTCATGTTTAACATTCAGTCATGGCTACAAAATGCAGCAGAATGTGTTATGAAGAGTGATTTGAATAACCTTCACTTAGATTATAAAATCTGAATGATCAGCCACACCTGTAAAACAATGTACTTTCATGAAAGACAAACAGAAGAAAAGCAGGCATCTCGGAAGGACAGAGGGAATGTGGAGAGACCTTTTCCTTGCAACGTATGTCATCTGGCTTATAATTGGCTCTAATTAGCACACTGTATTCAGCTATGATAATTCTTTACCTTGAAGCTCAGTGACACTTAAAGATGTGAAATTGCTTCCTACCTTTGAAAACATCAAAGAAAGTGCTTCCAATCTAGATTTTACAGATGGAAATTCAGTGATCAGTGCAGAAGAGGTGAAAATACATCAACAGGCATAAAGAGTATTGAACTCTGACTGGAAGAACTCTTAAGAGTTAATTGGTAAAACCAGATTTCATTGTCTGTAATTAAAAATCTATCTCATAAATCACACCAAATACCACTTATACTTTCAGCAGCATGTAAGAAAAATGATGGACTTAAATCAACTTGAAAATTTCTTAGTTACCCATTCAGTTGTGTGATGACCCTGAAGTATTTGAATTTTGCTTTGGAGCACTGGGTTGTGGAAAGGTAGCTGTGATCATGTACAGGTTATAATACGTTATTTTTTTTTATCTTGTTACATGTGTTCATAAAATGTTTTCATGTCTTTGAAGGATCTAGTTGATGAATTCTTTTCTCCAAGTTGTGCCATACAACTTTAACAAGGAACACTTTTAAAAACAAGATGGGCAATACTACAGACAAACCAGCCCAATTTGAAGCAAATCATAGAATCATTCTAGTTCCATGCCCTTGTTAAAACACATTTAAAAACATGGTGGTAGCTTAATGGGCTAAATGAAGTGATTTTGTCCTAATTCAGGAGAGCTCATTACAAATTAACTTTTATAAGTAGTTCATTTCCATGGATTGACAACATAATAAAGATGTAGGTCATGGTTCCAGTAGAAGAGAGATGCAGAAGCTAATCCTTTCTTTGGTCTGCTCTGTGATAGTAAGGAAAAGTTTGGTGGGTGAGGGGTCAGCCAACACAGCCTTTTAGGTATAGTTCAAGCTTCTTCATCTACTTGGCTTTAATTATTTCTAGCATAGTTCTGTTTTCTCTGCATACTCTTGCTTCTCTGTGGCAGCGAACAGGTGCAGTCTTTTGCCTGTATATCTAATGCTTGTTTTACTGAAAGTGCAGGTTAAAAAGCAATTAAACTCTTCACAGAACCCGTCCTAGGGGAGAGTAGGAGTAATGCAAAATTTGGGATAAAACAGGAGCCGACATACTGTGCAGCACAAATTTAGGAAGGTAGCTAGCAGCTGCCTAACACTGGCTCATTGTCCAAGCCTGCCCCTACTCATGCAACTTCCTTTCATCTCCTCAGTCCAGATGCTGAATTGATGCGTACAAAAAGTTAAACAGACTAGAGAACTTACATCTAGTGATGGACTCTTGACACACCTCAAGGAGTGGTACTTCATATGTGTACTGAGAATGACAACAGCATGTCAGATGCTTTGAATAGCTTAAGTTTTTGTCTGGAGATGGGAAGAAGTTTCTCTATGTGGCTATTGGTACTAAAGTTGTGATCTTCTGCCCTCAGCTGTATTGTGTCACTCAATATAAGATGGTTTGGAGGTTGCACAATTTACTTTTTAGAAGTGTTGGGTATGGAAGCCTATTCTCATAAAATTACAAGGAGTCTTCTTTTTTCTTACTGTTATCTTCAGTGAATTTATTAGCGTTAGAGTGCATATTTGATGTGCTGCCTATACTGACTGGCTTGAATGTGCTGCTTCACATAGGTAGAACTAGAGGATGAGGTCTTATTTCTTGCATTCCTTCCTGTGTAGCACAAAACTGGTGAATCACAGGTAAAATGTGTTGACTGAGTCAAGCTGGCAGCTGCTGAACTGGAAGAGGGTTGCATCAAAGCTATGAGGCTTATGATTTTTGGTGCATCTTCAAAAAGAATGCACAACATTACATATGAAGAGCTTTGAGGCTTCAAGCTAAAGCACTTGAAAGTGAATGTAAATCAAGGTCTATTTCTTGCTGTGTTTGTATGCAGAATGATTGCTATAGGCATAGAATCACAGAATAGTTAGGATTGGAAAGTACCTGAAGATCATCTAGTTCCAACCCCCTACAATGGCATAATCTGTTTGTTTTGCATAATCACTGATTCAGTATGCAGAATGGACAACAAATGGAGGATTTCAGGAAGCCATCTTTTTACCATTAGATCATCTAGAGAACCTGGGTAGCATTACTTTTTTTCTGATGGTTTTGGACAGGATGTCAGAGGGTACTCAAAAAGGCAAAGATGTGTACATTAGCACTGACTAAAAGATTTGATAAGCAAGTGTATATTTGGTATCACATAGCTTTTAAGTAACTGATGCTGCAGTAACATTCATCTAGCATGTGTAAAAATTGCTAGATTGCTAGCTAATAACAGATTTTATACTTAAAATATGGGTCAGATTTCAGCTGAAGAAATACTGTTTAATATTTTAACATACTTTGGAGTAGATTAGATCCACAGCATTAAAATGGCTTTCTAGTGCAAATTCTGATTGGTTGTAATGTTAGGGTGTTTGTTTTCTCTTTCTGTTTTACAGTGTTATGTGGGAACCAATGGGAGACGGTAGAAAGGTGATTTCGCTGGCTGATAATAACATATTATTATGGGATTTGCAGGAAAGTTCAGCTAAAGCTGTGGTAAGAATTTAAGAATTTTTAAGTTTTTTTTTCTAAACAAAGCCTGATATACTTGAATATAGTACAAACAACAGCATCATTAGCTAATATTTTAGCTATAAGGCTAAAATTCTGAACTATTTTATAAAATTAATTATAAGCTAGTTTATAATTTGCTAGTATTTTAACTATTCTTTAGAAATACCTTGTTGCTTTTAATGTGGGTTGGGGAAATGAATATTCCATCAGTTGTCTTGAATATGAGTGTTAGGGTGGTATTTTGTAACTGTTGATAGTGATTAAATATTTTTCCTTTTCTAGAGTTCCACTTACTTTACTGGTTTTACAGTGAGCAATCTAAAATAAAACAATGCTAATTTGATAAATGTGTAAAAGGGAAAATTGGTGGTCAGTAAAGCCAAAAGTTATTGAATTCAGGTAATAATATATTAACTCACTGGTTAATACCATGCAGCCCTCTATGTAATTTACCATCCTTGTCATATACATAGGCATAATATAGATGTCTCTATTTACTATTCACTGTGTTGATTTCTTAGTGTTAATTGAATTTAGTACTATGCTACCTATTCAGATTATTTCACTCACTGTTAAAGGTTTCTTATTCAGGAACATATATAAAAATGTGTCATTGGCATAATTTTCTGTCTAATTATGACACCTCTTATAGATAAACAAAAATGTTTGCTTATTTATGTATAATGACATAGATCATGTATAGGAAACTTTAAATGTTTCTGTACAGACTCATTTGGGTCAGTGTCCTTAAAAATGAAAATTGATTATGTCAAAGACATTATTATTCAGTTGTTCTATTGTCAGTTCTTGAATTAACTTGTCAGTTCAGAGTTAGTTTCATTTCTTAGATGATGCTGAATCAGATTCCTAGCAATTGCTTAAAGAGTCAAGACGCTGTATTCAAAAACTCTTCGCTGTTGTACTATCTGACTGTGTACAAATAGGTGAAGACTTGAGTTATTATTATTTTGTTAGATTTTCCATAGTGTAAGTGTAACATAATATAGTTTAATCCTTTGTGTTTATAAATAAGCCCTTTGGGTTACTTCACTAGATGAGAAAACTTAAAGTTTTTTTCCACCTGGAACTTAAGTCAGTGTTATGTTACCTGCCAAGGCTTCTTCCAAGTACTGGTTGTTAACAGTTATTGAACTGATGTTTAAAATTTCTGAAGGCTGGCCTCCAGGAACTTGTCTGTGGCATTGGATTCACTGGATTTGTATTACTCCTAAATTTGTCAGTATTCCTTTCCTAATCCCTGTATAACACACACACCAAAATATGATGTCCTGTGGGATGCTGTCTAGTGAGTATGTTACCAGTCTCTCAATATGTGAGAGTCTTGCAGTGAATACCATTTTTTTCTCATTTTATTTTGCTTGAGATTTTTTTACTAAAATTTTGCATGTTACATCTTCCTTTTACTATTCCTTTCCTCAAAATTAACCTCCTCACTCTGTCACACAAATATTTGTGAATTATTTCAATTTTCTTTCCTTCTATTGATAGAATTGGGATCTACATAATTTTGCAGAGGACTAGACTCTTTAGCAATTTAATTTCAGCATAAATTTGGAAATCAATATTTCTATCCTCAAAGAAATATTCAGTTTGCCGATCCTCTCAGTATTTCCATTAGTGTTCCTTACCTAGATGTCATGGTTTAAGCTCAGACAGGCAGTCTCTCTCCCCCACTTCTCCCCTCCTGCTCCCGGAGGGATGGGGAAGAGAAGCGAAAGAATGTAACTCCCACAGGCTGAGATAAGAAACAGTCCAGTAACTAAGGTATAACACAAACCACTACTGCTACCACCAATAATAATAATGATAAGGGAAATAACAAGGGAAGAGGATACAACTGCTCACCATCTGCTGACCGATACACAGTCCCAACCGAGCAGTGATATAGCTCTTCCGGGTAACTGCCACCAGTTCTGCATCTGGGCATGACATGCTGTGGTATGGAATACCTCTTTGGCTAGTCTGGGTCAGGTGTCCTGTCTCTGCTTCCTTCTGGCTTTCCCTCCTCCCTGGCAGAGCATGAGGCTCAGAAAGTCCTTGGTCAGACTAAACACTACTTAGCAACAACTAAAAACATCGGTGTTATCAGCGCTGTTCCCAGGCTGCAAGTCAAAAACACAGCACTGCATCAGCTACTGAGAAGGTGAAAAATGACTGCTACTGTTGAACCCAGGACACTAGAATATCTTTTATTCTCTTACTCTTAAAGTATGCCTATACTGCATCAAATATTGATGCCAAAAGAAGGAATCCAGAAGGCAAGTAAATGATAAACGAGCTAAAGGGATTTAAGCTGTAACATTTGTTATATGCTTATATTTGGTAAAAAGAAACAAGAAAAAAAACGAGATTCTTCATCAAAACCCCTGCTTAACGAAGCTAAGACTATGGAATTAGATCAGTCAACCCCTGACTGACGTCTTCATATAGGATCATTCTGAAATGTTTGATAAAACCTTAGTTTGCAGAAGTTAGGAATGTCATTTAGATTTTGCAGTTGGGTTCTCGGGAGACCTGATACAGAATTTGACTGGTTCTCTATATTTCTGTCTAAAATAATCTAGTATCTCACGTGAGTGCACTGTAAATTAGAATTGCTTGTGGTTAAAATTTTACCTGGAAATAACTGTTTAGCATTATCACTCTTCTGCTCCAGCAATTTTGAGTTACTCTTTAATGGTACTTTATCACTGAGTCTGTGACCACTTTTAAAGTGAAGTTTGACTGTGGATTGGCTGAGGGACGGCGGACACTTTGTGACCAACCTAGACGTCTTAGCCCTCGGAGACGGTAGTTGTGAAGATTATAGCTGAACGATGGACATGAGAAGCAATCCCAGCTGTCTGGTCTTAGCCGAACTCTGAGGCTTGTACTCAAGTTACCCAGGCTGCAAGGCCTAACCTTAGGTTATTAAGGGTCAGCTACGTGCAGTAGAACAGAGAGGCTTGGTAGTTGCTCAAGGATAACAGGATGTGGGAGCGGGATGGTGAAACTGCAAGAGACATGCTAAAAGTAGCAAAAGTAACAGTTGGCATAATTTTCCCGTTCGCCTCTAATCTGTCGTAAGAATGTATGGTTAGCACTTTTAAGCCAATCGGAATCTATACTGGTTACAACAGCTATTCTTGTGTATTATAAAAGCTGTCAATGTGTGTGAATAAATTTGGCAAATCGCTTGATCACATTGATCATCTCCGCGTTTTGTCCGAGCTCCCGCGTCAACATTTAATAGTGAAAGTCTGTGGGAACTTGACTCTTGGAAGTCGAGTCAAGAGCAGAACTCCAGGTATCTAGATCTTAAGCCAGGTGAATCTCTTCTAAAATGACTGGTATTGTTGCATTCCAGACAAGTTTTTGTGTGTGAAAAAATTGTCTCAAACATGTCTGTTGGCCCCTGAGTTAACCAGTGTCCAGTTGAGCAAGACTGAGGAAAGCATGAGCATCTCTTTAAAATGCCTACCATAAACTTTCCACTAATTAAAATGATGACAACCTGAAGTTCAGGCTTAGAATCAACTGCTGTGTGTTTCTGAAGTCTTTGAAGATTACTTCCTGCCTAAGAAATTACCTCCTTGCTAGAATCCATAGAAAGCTGAAAACCAATAATTGTTACTGTGAAGCAACTTTATATTTGAAAAAAATCGTGTAGAACTGACAGTTATAGGGAGTGATGAGGAAAAATAAGAAATGGTTCATCACTGAGGTGGCTTTCTATTAAAAAAATACAAACCAAAAACCAACAACAAAAACAAAATGAAAAAAAAAAAAACCCAAGCAAAATCAAACAAAATTAACCCTATACCCCATCCTTTGCTTGCTATTATGTTTAGAATGTGAGAGAGAAAACTATTAGAACAAATCGGTTAGAAGACAGCACTGGTAAAGATGCTGTTGCCTGTCACAAGGAGTGTTTGTAGGCCAATCAGCTGTTGGTGAAATAGTGATTTATTTCTGTGTATATCCTGTTTATTCAGGATTGTTGGATGCAAAATATGTTATAACCCTAAAAAGCATGATTTGTGTTTTAATGCATTTTTGGTGGTTGTAAAAGCACACTTCCTTGGGATATTAGTAAAAAGAACTTTTTTTTGGCCTTGAAAACAAGTATGGAACACCCTACAGAAAAAAAAAATCAACTCTCACCAGCATTGAGAAAGGGGACATGTATTAGAAGAAAAAAAAAAAAAGAAAATTCTCTGAAGAGAGTCCATGGAAACCATTAGAAGTTCTTTACAGTGAGGGTTGTGAGGCACTGAAACATTGCCTAAAGAAGTTGTAAATGTTCCATCCCTGGCAGCGTTCAAGGCCAGGTTAGAAAGAGCCTTGGACAACATGGTCAAGTGTGAGGCGTCCCTGCCTGTGGCAGGGGGTTGAACTAGATGATCTTAAGGTCCTTTCCAACTCAAAACATTCTACAATTCTATGATTCTATATATGATTATAGGCATCAGTTGGTGCTATGCAGAAATTCTTGCCAGGAATTTTACATTAGCTTTTTCTATGCAGATACAGAAGGAGATTATTTAAATAAGAAACATGATGTTTGTTGTACACTAGGATAAAGGGTTGTCCATTTTTGGCATGTCTTAGCCACATGATGTCTTGCTTAATATGCTGTTTGGTTCTAGCAGATGATGGCAAAGAAGTAAGTAGCTAATAAACTTGCATGTTCTGTAGAGACTGTTGAGGGGAAGAAAGTCTTTACAAAATATTTTTGTTGCTATAGACTTACTACTGAAATAGCCATATACCTGTGTATGTATACATTAACAGAATAAATCAATAGCCTAGGATTAAAATAATAAAAATATTTGTGTGCTTGAATTTTTTCCCTTATCAAAACCATGATAGTGTTCATGTTGAATGGCTTTATCATCATTAATAGCAGGATCTGGTCTGCTGAATCTGTATCAAGTAATAGGATGTCCTGGGTTTAGCAGTAGCAGTCATTTTTTTTCCTTCTTGGTAGCTGGTGCAGTGCTGTGTTTTGACTTTCGGCCTGGGAACAGAGCTGATAACAACGATGTTTTAGTCTGACCAAGGACTTTGTGAGCCTCATACTCTGCCAGGGAGGAGGGGAAGCCGGAAGGAAGCAGAGACAGGACACCTGACCCAAACTGACCAAAGAGGTATTCCATACCACAGCACGTCATGCCCAGGATGTAACTGAGGGTTACCCGGAAGGGCTAGGACTGCAGGGTTGGACTAGTTATTGGTTGGGCTGAGGGAGCGAGTTATTGGTCGTGGGTGCTGAGGTGTTGTATTCTCTTCCCTTGTTATTTCCTTTATCATTATTGTTATTGGTGGTAGCAACAGTGGTTTGTGTTATACCTTTGTTACTGAACTGTTCGTATCTCAACCCGTGGGAGTTGCATTCTTTTCACTTCTCCTCTCTGTCCCTCCGGGAGTAGGGGGAGGGACAAGAAGGGGGGGAGTGAGTGAACAAGCTGCCTGACTGGTTTTAAACCACAACATAGGAGTAAGTGGGTATTCGTTACACTGGTGCAGCACTGCTCTTGTTTCATGAACACATTTCAAGTGCTTACATTTTTGGTAGGTATGTATCATAGCCAGTATTAATTTCCATGGCAAGAGGTAAACCCAGTGCTACTTTTTATGGACTTTTCATGTTTGTGAAAAAGTTCCTCTATAACCCAAGTGTAGTACTGGTGAAAAATTGATAGGATATTTGCCTTAAAATTTTGCATAGGCCAAAAATTGTGCTTGCTTACAGTGATCAAAAGTTCAGTCTTTTACTGGGTGCATCTCTTCTATCTGCCTGGGAGTTACAAGACACATGTTTAATTAGAATTAGCATGAAGAATTTTAGGGTTCCTGGTATTTGCTGAGCTTTTTTGTAATAAAATTACTTGTGTGTTCATTCTCTGAATTATCTGGTCAGCCTGTCGTAGGTGGTCATTTACTAACCATAAGTTACGGTTTTGTAGGTTTGTTGGGTTTTGTTCTCCTCCTTCCCCTCGCCTGTCCCAGCATTTTTTCCCAAGTTTTGTCTTCATTACAATATTTAATACAGGAATATTTGCCTGCATTTGCATTAAGACAAGCTTCTCCTGTCCTTTTGATCACTACTTTTACCTTCTGGGGTGAAACTAATCTTATGCTCACTGCATCATTACCTTTTGCAATTAAATTAGCTATTCTTTGTCATTTATAATCATTAGCTGAACCCAAGAGAAGCAACCAATCCACAAGGTCTGGATGGATTGTGCTGAAAAGATGACAGTTAATGTTTCTGTATGCAGACTTTAGGTCAGATGTCACCAAAACACTAGAACTCCTTCTTGGGTAAATGCATTGTGTTTGGAATGGCAGAGGAGTGTTACAGAATGAAACGGAGATATTAAAATATAGATATTTTTCTCTTTGCCTTATGTTTTCACAAAGGGGAGGAGCAGAGATGCAGGTTTGATTATTTTAATCCAAGAGATGAATTAGATTTCTTTTAGATTTCTTGTCCCTTCTGGGTTCTTTAGTAGCATTTAATTTATAGGTGATCTTAATTCAGTAATTGAATGAGGGCCCTACAAGGATGCTAGAGAGGGACTCTTCATTAGGGACTGTAGTGATAGGAAAAGGGGTAACAGGGTCAGACTTAAACAGGGGAAGTTTAGATTAGATAGAAGGAGGAAGTTCTTTACTGTGAGGGTGGTGAGGCACTGGAATGAGTTGCCCAAGGAAGCTGTGAATGCTCCATCCCTGTGGTGTTCAAGGCCAGGTTGGATGGAGTCTTGGGTGACATGGTTTAGTGTGTGGTGTTCTTGCCTATGGCAGGGGGTTGGAACTAGGTGGTCTTAAGGTCCTTTCCAATCCCGTCCATTCTATGATTCTGTTCTATGACAACACAAAATATCTGGCAGTGGCATTACAGGCAAGATGGAAGATCATGTGGGTGAAGATTTCACAGTCTATCTGGATAAAAGTAATGTTTCCAAATATAGGAGGGTGTTGGGAATAAGCATGAGATGCTTTCTTGGCAAGATGTCTTCTGTTCCTCAAGGCAGGAGATACATTGTGGACTTTAGTGGAGAACTTTGTAGAGAGCTCTGTAATTGCTGCAACTAGAACAAACATAGATCAGTTAAAGGAGGGCAAAAAATGTCTGACGAAACATGAAAGAGAAGCTACTAGATCAAAAAGAGGATAGAAGACCAGTTTTTAAAAAGTTAGTGTTGGGATTCATTTTGTTTAATGGTCTCCTTAATGGTAGTATAGAATTAGGAGTGAAATTATGGAAATTGTTGATGACAGAAACTTGAAATCCATCATCAGTATATAGGAACAACAGATTTCAGAGGATGAACTTGATGTTTAATTTTTGTTGTATAAAGCAGAAAACTTGTTTTTAAGGAATAAAAATATTTTCTTGCTGTGATGTAGAAACTCAGCATTTAAAAATACATGGATTCTGGGAATGACTCTGTTCTGCCAATATGATGAGGGTATTTGAAATTGTGAACGATTGTAGGATGGTTCAGATATGAAAGGACTGCATGGTTGCCTGCAACTGGAGGAATTGAACTGGATGAATTCAGAGTCACATAATCATAGAATGGTTCGAGTTGGAAGGAACCTGAAAGATCATCTAGTTTCAATTCCCATGGCATGGGCAGGGACACCTTCCACTAGACCAGGTTGCTTAAAGCCTCATCCAACCAGCCCTTAAACATTTTGAGGGATGGGGCATCTGCTGCTTCTCTGGGCAAGCACTGCCTCACAACTCTCACAGTGAAGATTTTTTTTCATGATATCTAAATCTCCCCTCTGTCAGCACAAATTTGTGCAGTGTGCCCATGTTGTCTATCTCCTGTTTCAACAAATGATCTGAAACTGTTTATTTTAGTTTATAAAGTACAAAAGTACTTCTAATATTAATGAATACAATACACTGCATAAGCCTTTGTAAAAATTCCGTAGTGAGATACAGAATCAGCTCTAGCTTTTCATTTGTTTTGTTTTTTGTTGTTTGTTTGTTGTGTTTTTTTTTTTTTTACCTGTGATTCTGGTAGTCTTTTACACTTGGAACAATAGGCTATTGTGCAGGTTTTGTCTTTGGTGAACCTAATTTCATTTTAACATTGCATTTAGAAACATTGCCAGCTTTGTTTCATTATTTTAGCTCTCTAGTTCTGCAGCCTTGGAAGGGAAGGGACAATTAAAATTTACTTCTGGAAGATGGAGTCCACACCACAATTGCACACAGATTGCAACAGCCAATGACACCACTGTTCGAGGATGGGATACACGAAGCATGAGGTAATGAGAAATCACAGTCATGTTCTTTAAGAAAGACAATCTCCTTTGGAGATAGTGGTTTTTTTTGTTTGTTTTTTTTTTGTTTTTTTTGCATTGCTGCTAAACTTTTACTCTTTTTTTTTTTTACTTTTTTATTTTTTTAGGATTGGTAATGTGGCAAAGCTATCACTTTTAAAAGGAATGGTTGGGCTTGCATAGCTGATATATTTAGTAAAGGGTTTTCTCTGTTTCCCCCTCTCAGCTTCAATTCTAAGTTGTATATTGAGTTTTAATGAACTATGTGGTAGTCTCAGGATATTTTTTTCAATATTGTCAAGGCATTCAATATCGTTCAAGGCATTACCTGAATGAAGCTGCTCTCTAATTCAACTTGAGAATGATTTAACAGCAGTTCTGACTATGCTATGAACTGTCTTGGTAGCATTTTATTTAAAGATAACTTTAATTTCTGAAAGTAATTCATAGGTTAAGTTCACTCCTCAATATTCTTATTTTAACAAAGAGCATCCTATGCCATATTAAAGATTTTAACATGCTAGTCGTATGAAACTACTGAATCTATCAAAATCATGACCAAATCAAAGCTTTGAATATACCTAATAAGGTGTTTTCCCCCCTGCTCAGTTGTGATTTTGATAAGCAAAGGAGTGATGTTGTGCACATCTGTTGCTATGACTACTAAAGCCTGTGCAAGCTTTTTTAAGATATGCTTTATCCCTTTAGCACATAGTAATTTATCACTAAACCAAGAAGGCTGATGTCTTGTAATAACTTTTGTTGCCTTAAAGCGGGATGACTTTAAATTTAGTTCTCTGGTTCCTGCCAGCTCAGGGGTGTAGCGATAAATCCCCATGCTTACCAGCCTTATGTGGTTTTGCCAAAAAGGTTTATTTAAGAAACAAAATCTAAAAATACAAAAGTAATAATTAAAAGTCAGTTCCTGAAAGCTTGTCATCAGGTTTGAAAGTCCTGTTCTTTGCCTTGTAAAATAATATATAAAAATCTAACTTCATATATATGTGTAAACTTTCATTCATGAAGGTGCTTTTAAAGGAAACGTACAATAAGGGAAAGTTGAAAGCGTTGGGTTTAATTTGATTTTTTTATGATGTTTCTTGTAATAATTCTATTTTTTAACACATAGCAGGCAGACCTTAAGATTAAAACCTATGTTTCCAAGTAGAAAATGTTAACTGTTGTGAAGTCTGCTTCATGATTTGTCTCATTAGAAAAAGCTTTTTTGTCTTTCATTAAGTGAATACCCTGAGTAACTTGAAAAATATGTGCAAAAGTCGTTTCTGCAATTATACTGTAATGTGTCTAGAATGATGTGAATATTGGATAATGACTAGTCAGGCTAGAATTATAAACTGTGGCAGTGCAAGATGCAAAAAATGAGGGAGAGGGAGAAATCAAGAACAGAAAACTGCTATACAAGCAAAGAATAAGGGGGATTCTAAAGAAGTAGCTAGAGGAGCTAATTCCACAGAATGTGATTACGATAGCTGTAAGATACACGAAGTAAATTATTTTGGACATAGCAAACAAAGAAGGGGAGGAAAAAAAGAGGTTGTTGGGAAGAGTCCTGAGATTAGATGAGGGAAACAGTCTTCATCCAGCATAGGGCTTCTGAAGCAGAGGAGACTAAACACCAGGAAGCAGACACTAGACTGAATGGATATAGGTGGAGAATTGTATTGGGAAAATTCAGATTCTGAGAATAGATTTAAAAAAAATGGAAGAAGAATATGAGACAGAGGAGCCAGAAGCTGGAGAAAATGTTTGTGTGGTTTGGCCTTAATCTTGTAATGTAAGAGGGAAATTCAGTGTAGGTATCATTGCTCTAGGTAAGGTGATAGAGTGAAAGAAAAGATTCATGTTTGTGAAGGTAAGGGAACAAGTGGCCAGAATAATAGTTAATTTGGGATAAAGGCCTTCATGGTAAGCACTATTGAATATAGGATGGACAGTGGTGTTTCTTTTTAAGCCCTTGCATACATCTCCATGAGCAGTGCAAGAAAGAAGTGAAAGTTGCAATAAAGGAGGAAAGAAGTGTTTTATTGCTGGAAGCATGCTTGAGATTAAAAAAAAAAAAATCCTATGAAGATGTTTCAAGAAATTAAAAGGAAATGTTGAATACAGCTCTCGGAATACCTGGTAGAAAGGCATACCTGAGTTATATCCTTAACTTCTCAAGCTCTGAGAAGAGTGTTGACATGGAATACCTAAGTAGTATCTTCTATCCTGAGTGACTGCCATAGTAGAACTTTGGTAGATGGTGACATTGAGAAAACTGGTAATGCAATAGTGGAAACAAAAATGAAAACCCACAACCCAAGTTTAAGAGACTAGGTAGGAAGACAAACTGGCGGAACATGGTGTTTTGAATAAGGGTGCTAGGTTGTTAGCAGTACTATAAATGTTTTCTCAAGTGGTCCACTTGGATGAGTATGTACATCGCAGAGTTTAAAGGCCACAGGTAAATTAATGATAAATGCCAGAGCTCAGGAAGGTAAGTACAAAATTGGGCAATAATAAAAAGCCGTTGTTCATATCTATTGCATCCCTTACATCTCGTTTTTTCATGTACATGTTACAAATACAGAATTAGTAAAACCACTTAGGAGTGGAGAAGCTCTTATCTGAAAATATTGTGGTTTAATAGCGGACATTTCATAACAGTTGTTAAGAGAGCTGTGCTAGAATCATCTGGAACTACTGTTTCCTTTTAGCTTCAGGTGATCCTAATGCAAACAAGAAAAGAGCAAAGCTTTGAATCAAGCTGAGAAATCTATACAAGGCACTGTTGTTAACAGCTGGGATTTCCCTAAACTATGCACTAGTAATGGGAACTCTAGGTCTGCGAGTGCTGAGGGGATTATACAAGTTTCCAGGGAAACAGATTCCTGTCAGTGGAGTGCGCTTAGCTTTCTATAGACCATTTAATTTTTTTAATGTGTTTTACAGACAGATATATTGCATAGAAAATGCACATGGACAGCTGGTACGAGACCTAGACTTTAATCCCAATAAGCAGTACTACCTGGCTAGCTGTGGAGATGACTGCAAGGTGAAATTCTGGGACACAAGAAATGTCACTGAACCTGTGAAGACACTAGAGGAGCATTCCCACTGGTAGAACAAATTATCTGCATGCTGTTTTGCGGGTGGATGGCTTATGTAATTTATTCAGCTAATTATTTTTCTGTTTAGGAACAATGCAAGCTAACTGTGTTTTGTGCTATTGTGAATAATCATTTTTCTGCACAGAGGAAAGGTTTCAACATGTGAATGTTCCTTGTGTGATTGTAAATTAGGAGTTTAGTCTAATTGGCAAGGAACTGTTGTTAACACTGTTGGGAGATAGGGCACTCCTTTGAGAAGCACAGAACAAAACTTGGCTTGTAGGGGCCAGCTGGCATACAGGTGTGCCTTTCCAAATCCAGCCTGATCTGCTGCACCTGATCTACAGAAAAGCAGCTGCCGTCTATCCTGCTGTTGAATGGTTGAAACGCTCAGTAGTTCAGCCCCATGTTTTTCATGCTTTTGACAGCCCTTAAGCCAGAATATGCAAGAGAGTAATTTTTTTTTCTGAGATAATGCTTAGAGCCTGTATCTACTGCTCCGGCCTCTGGCTGGAGCAAGGATAGAATCTTGTCTGACGTTTGCAGACTTCAGTGGTTGAGAAAAGATGAGCGGTTCATATTTTATAGAATTTGGGTTGGAGTAATTCTTGCAAAATAAATCTGGACCCTGAAGCTAGTTTGAGGGGAATGAAGATGTGAATTAACAAAAGCAGCGTTTATACTTTCTTTCCAGAAGATTAAAGGAAAAAGAATAGAACGAGAACCATAAGACATTTAGTATTAACTTGATATGTAAAATCTGAAATTGTAGAGAAGTATAATCCTACTTTTGTTTTAGGGCCTATTTTAAACTTTTCTGTAAGACTGTTGTGAGATTTTTGTTTAACAGTTTATTTTTAATCCATATTTTGCTTTGTGGAAATTTTTATATTTAGAACTTTATTTATCTGTCACACTAAACAATGAATTGGTATCTGCCCTCAAGGAATGATACCACTGAATACTGAATAGTGTTTTGTTCTTTGATGTTTGTGGGATTTTTCCCAAAACTTATTTGTTGAGTTTTAAAGACTAGAAAACAGATGATGTGGAAACTTAAAAGCCAAATGAAGATGGCAAAAACAGTCTTTGGAATAAGGCATGTCACTTCTAAGGGTGCTTACAACATTTAAGTCAAAGATGAATTTTTAGTGCTGTTTAAAAAAAAATAAATCATTTATTGTAGATGCACTGCCTACCAAGAATAGCCTCTTGTTCTTTCTGGTTTTATTTTTAGGGTATGGAATGTCAGATACAATCATTCTCATGATCAGCTGATCCTTACAGGAAGCAGTGATAGCAGAGTTATCCTGTCTAATATGGTATCAATTTCTTCTGAACCATTTGGACATATGGTAGATGATGATGAGCTAAGTGACCAAGAGGACCAGCATCAAGAAGAGAAGTATGAAGTTTCCTGAATTTTATGAAGATGATTATAGATTGTTTTTTAATTGTAATAGTTAATGTGCTGTTTTTTTGCTGACTAGGATTTTTGTATACAGGCCTTTCAGGTAAGTAGTTCTAATTCCTACTTCTTTACTCAAGAGTCTCGAGTGGGGTGCACTCTTTAAATCTGATTGGTATGATCACGGTATGTTCACTGATAGGAAGGGGATGGTGATGCTGAGGACGAGTACTAAACTGCTCTGAATCAGTGAAAAGATTCACTTTAAGGGAGCTCTGGACCAAGTCAAGAATATACAATACTTTGGGTTAAGCGAGAGTTGAAAATCTGCTTTTTGTGTTTTCTGTGTATGTGTTGTAACCTTTAGGAAATGTTAGCAGTCTAATGGTGAGCTTCTGCACAGGTGGAAAAAAAGATGTGTAAACACATAAATTTTTGTAAATTTTGCTCTTAATATTACTAACTGTTTTAGAAACCAGTAATTCATCAGACCTACTTCAAGCAAACCAGATGTTTGGTTTTGATACTCCTGGTAGAGAATAACACATGTTACTGCAAGCATTTCTAAAAATCATCCACTTGGGTGTGTAAGGAATCACGTATACTGCATGTGAAATTTGGAGGGATGGGATTTTTAGTAAAGAGTTAACTGAAACGCTGAAATAATAATTTTTCATCCTCCATTTTTGTCTGCTTTCAACTTTTTCACTGTGTAATAGATGGTGCTTGTCATCCTCTCTGTACGTCTGTATGAATATATATATATGCATATAGGGAGTTATAGAGTGGGCTGAGGCTTTCTAATTTTGCAACTAGCTTTTTTTGCAACTACTGGAATAGTGCGATGGGATGAGGAACAAGGAAAATACAAAAAAGATCCCCAGTTATTCAGCTGTGTCTGCTAGATGTTTCAGTTACAATTCTTAATAAGGTTAGTTTTGTAGTTGCATTTTTAAGGTTGGTCTTGCACTTTTCCTTTATTAATAAAGATGTAGTTTTGCTCCAAATAGTTTTGACATTTTGGTTTCACGTAATGGACCTGGAAACCATTTTTGAAATATTAAATAAGGAAGCTATCCCATATATAGAAATAGTTAATTTTAAATGTGCAGAATGTCTCTAGAAGCGATAAGGTGATGTGTCTTGAAAATCAAGGCGTATCAGATTAAATACCTAGAAAGCTGCTCACATCAACAGTACATACTCTCTGTAATGTAACTAAATTACAGCATTTAAAATATGATGTATGATGTACCTTTTGGTTCCTTACCTTTGGCTGGGGATTACAGCTTACTCTGTTCTGGATGGAAGATAAATAGGCTGCAATGGAAGTGAGAAAGAGACTAGGGTGTTTAGTTTGGATTTTTTTAAATATATATGAAAGGAATGTAGTAGTACAACATTGCAGGTAAATACAGATGTTGTGTAGTAGATTATCTGGAGCTCTGAATTTCTGTTGATTGTGGACTGTGTAGGTTGCTTCATGAAAACACAAGTGATTGTTTCAAGAATAAGAATTTTTGAAACCAAGAATATGCAAAACGGTAAAAGTATAATGCATCAGTTACTTTGGCTATGGGATGGGTGTAAACGACATCATGAATGACTTGTAATGATGCAGAGCCTTTGCCTGTTTCCAGAGGCTACAAGAACAAGAGTATCAATGCCACATTTGCTTGTCAAATATGTGCTTTTCAGCTGCTAGTCTGCTCTCTATAAAACCTGGGAAAGAACAATGGCTTTTGTAGAATTTGCTTGGTACTGTCAAAGGCTTCTTTTGTTGTTTCCCCCAAAACCCCCACCTTGTTATGAATTGAGCTAGAAGGATGTTTGCAGGGTGCAAACCAGCCTTGAACTGTTGCCAGGTGAATGTCTGTTTAGTTCTGAGTGCACTGATGAAGCAGGGCATAACAGCTGTTGGGAATACTTCTTGTTAGTCAACCCCTAGAGCCAAGTATTTGCCTTCTGTAGACCTCTTTGAAAAATCTGTTGAGCCATTCCATAGGTACAGCCTCTTCTGTAAAACACATGTTTTCAGTGTATGGTTTGGTGGAAGGTGGGTGTTTGTTTCTTTGCTTGGGTACATTCTAGACTTTAAAAATAGCGTTACAGTCTCATGGTCCATTTTTATCCTGTTTTGGAGGACATTTTGTTTGCTATTAAATAGCACATAAATTTTGAAAAAGAAAATGTCTTTTTTTGTGTGTACCTTGAAGTACACCAGGAAGCACAGATGTCTGTACAACTAATATCTGTAGCCAGTCACCTTCAGAGTGAATGATGAAATCTCTCACAAAAGAAAGTTGAAATATCAGTTAGAAAGAAGGAAGATGTCCATCATATTTTAAAACTCGGGACAGTCAGGTGAAGTTCCTGATGACTGGAAAAAGAGAAATGCAACACCCATTTTCAAGAAGGGGAAAACGGATGACCCAGGCAATTACAGACCAGTCTCACCTCTGTGCCTGGCAAAATCTTCGAGCAGGTTCTCCTGAAAGGCATGCTAAGGCACACGAAAAACAACAAGGTGCTTGGTGACAGCCAGCATGGCTTCACTAAGGGGAAATCCTCTCTGACCAATTTGCTGGCCTTCTGTGATGGGGCTAAAGAACTGAGGGACAGGGGTAGAGCAGTTGATGTCATCTACCTGGATTTGTGTAAAGCTATCGACACTGTCCCACGCGATATTCTTGTCTCTAAATTGGAGAGACATCAATTTGATGAATGGACCACTTGGTGGATAAAGAACTGGCTGGATGGCCACACAGAAAGAGTTGTGGTCAATGGCGCAGTGTCCAGCTGGAGACCAGTAACAAGTGGTGTCCCTCAGGGATCAGTGTTGGGACCGGTCTTGTTCAACATCTTCATCGCTGACATGGACAGTGGGATTGAGTGCGCCCTCAGCAAGTTTGCCGATGACACCAAGCTGTGTGGTTCGGTTGATAACGCTGGAGGGAAGGAATGCCATCCAGAGGGACCTTGACACACTTGTGAGGTGGGCTGATGCCAACCTCATGAAGTTTAACCATGGCAAGTGCAAGGTCCTACACCTGGGTTGGAGCAATCCCAGGCACAGCTACAGGATGGGCAGAGAAGAGATTCAGAGCAGCCCTGCGGAGAAGGACTTGGGGGTGTTGGTCGATGAGAAAATGAACATGAGCCTGCTTCAGTGTGTGCTCGCAGCCCAGAAAGCCAACTGTATCCTGGGCTGCATCAGAAGGAGTGTGACCAGCAGGTCAAAGGAGGTGATCCTGCCCCTTTATTCTGCTCTCGTGAGACCTCACTTGGAGTATTGTGCGCAGTTCTGGTGTCCTCAACATAAAAAGGATAGGTAACTGTTGGAACAAGTCCAGAGGAGGGCCACAAGAATGATCAGGGGACTGGAGCACCTCCTGTATGAAGACAGGCTGAGAAAGTTGGGGCTTTTCAGCCTGGAGAAGAGAAGGCTGCGTGGAGACCTCATAGCAGCTTTCCAGTATTTGAAGGGGGCCTGTAAGGATGCTGGGGAGGGACTCTTCATTAGCGATTGTAGTGATCAGACAAGGGGTAATGGGCTCAAACTTAAACAGGGGAAGTTTAGATTGGATATAAGGAGGAAATTCCTGTTAAGGTGGTGAGGCACTGGAATAGGTTGCCCAGGGAAGTTGTGAATGCTCCATCCCTGGCAGTGTTCAAGGTCAGATTGGACGAGGCCTTGGGTGATATGGTTTAGAGCGAGGTGTCCCTGCCCATGTCAGGGGGGTTGGAACTTGATGATCTTAAGGTCCTTTCCAACCCTAACTATTCTATGATTCTATGACTTCCATGAGGATCTGTCTCTTGTTACAATTGAGTGACCTTCAGTTCCTCTTAACTGCTGATTCGGATTAGAGCAACTAGTTCTCAGACTCTTACCTACTTTTTAGCTACCACTGTTTCTCTCATCAATCATAAAAATGTAAAAGCAGCTAGCCTTTATCAAATCAAAGGTCTCCCTAACCTGCATCATGTCACTGATAGTGGCTAAGAGGAAAGATTGTAAAAACAGGAAAAGGAGATGGTATTTCCTCTGGGTATGCTTCTAGCCCCTGTTTGCAGCTCAGGGACCTTTACTGCCTTCTGAATCATCTTTGGAGACTTCTGGTTCTTCCTTTAGTTTTTTCTATTGCCATGAGGCATATTTTTGAGTTTGTCTCTTCTCACTAACTGTGGTTTTGTTTGTTCCAAAATATGTTAGCTATGCATGCACTGTCTTTGTGAAGTGTGTCTAGGAGAAACATGTCAACTGCATTTGTTTGCTTGCTCTGAATAAAGGGAGGCTTCAGTGCTTTCTGTCTTGGAAGCCTGAAGCCTCTTTTGAAAGTAGGTATTCTAAAAAAGGATCGAGCTATCCACAGAGAGAAGGTATAGGCATGTGGCTGGAGGACAGCTGGGGTATATTTTGATCAAGTTCCTAGTCTGGATAATTTAATGCACAGTTCAAATACAGAAAAAAATATCTGAGAAACGGGTAATGAAATGCTGTACTTCTAGCTTAATTTCTAGCACTTTGATCCAGAGGTAGAAAAAAGTATACAAAATAAATGAAAATAGAACAGATGAGGTGTGTATTTCAGGCGCATTTAACTTTCATCCCTAAAACAGGCTGGTGTGCCTGGATAAGAACATAGGGAATGCTTTTCAATGCCTCAGTTTGAACAAAATCTTTAAATCATGCAGTCATTCCACATTTATGGATGTAACTGATTAAGGCAGGCTTCTCTTTGGCTTCTCTTTCTTTAATGTCTTTGCACTCTGGAGTTGCAAGGACTTCATCCTTGCAACACTGAATTTGCCTTAATTCCAAAGCTCCTGAAGGTGTCTGTCAGTTCCCTTTAGACATCTGCAGAGCACCAAGAACTATCCTTCTCAAGGGAGGTGGTGACTGTTTTATATCCTTTCTTCTTTCTTTGGTCACCCAAAATCCTCATGTTAGTTGAGCCTGTGTTGGTTGTATTAAACTAGTCTGACAGTCATTTTAATTCTACATTGTTATTTCTATCAAACAAAACATACTAGGTTCTTGTAGTTTAGCATGATTATCTTTACTCACCAATCAGGATTCCTTTTCTTTAGTATTGAAATATA